ACTCAAAAACATGATTCATACACTCAGAGGATGAATCATACACTTAAGACGATGGATCCTACAGTAAAGACGATGGATCATACAGTGAAGACGATGGATCATACAGTAAAGACGATGGATTATACAGTAAAGACGATGGATCATACACAGTGACTTGAGCACAGAGGCGTGTCAACATTCCACACTCAGGAATACATTCACATTCCTGAGGTCTTGTTAACATTCTCACACTAGTCTTACCACTTTACTGTTTTCATTAATCATATTCTGGATATAATTTGTTTTGTCTTTGATTATCTTGTTTTCCTCCTATTATATTTTATCTGTGTGTATCTCTCCTCGTTTTCTTTTCCTTCGTTTTTTCTATATTTACAATTTTCCATTCTTGAGTGTTTATTTGTTACTTTATTATTATTTATCTTATTTCCTTTCTCTACATTTTTCATATTTCTTTGTTTATTTTTTGTTTGTTTTTATGTTTATTCATTATTTTATATTTTATATTTTATATTTATTCTCTGGGTTTTTTTTTACGTTTATTCTCTTTTCTATCATTAAGTAGCAACATTCTGGTCTGACAGGCAGCATAAATTCTCCAAGTTGAGGATGATATTATAAAACAGGTCCTCAGAGACGTCGTGTATAACTGACTAGTCAATATGATGACCTACACTACTACCTCGTGATCTCAGATAATAATTTAATAATCCAGTCTGTTCTATGTATAAACAAAAAAAGATTTGACATTTTATCTGGCTCGATTATTTATTTTTTTTATTTTTACTAAAGTATATAAAATTCAGTTATTGCTTTCCCTGTCAGGTGTAATTATAAGAATTTAATAGGCTTTTTTTTAGGTATATATATATTTTTTTTTCTAATTACGTATGAATTTGTATTTAATTTTGATTTGTATTGTTAAGGCATTATGGTCAATTATGCTATGGTTAAACTTGTAAGATACCATGATATAATATTTTGTATTGTTATTAAATGTATATTTTGTTATAATCTAAGCTAATCATTAAACTTGGAGGTCAGAATTAAATTGTGTGCTAATCCTAATGCACTCCAATCCCAATAGAGTCCAATCCTAATGGTTAGATTAGGTAGAGGCTTCTTGAGATTGCTGCCCAATAACCGTATACCATAACGCAATATATCCCATCTCGACTTGCTTAGCGATATACCAAGGATTCAAAACAATAAATAATCAATACTAAATGTATATACCAGTCGCGAGGCTTTCACCTACCCTCCCAAAAATTACTTTAATATATAAATGGATCAATTAATTTACATAGATAAAACACAGCTGATCAATAGACCAAAGGCGCCTTAGAAATATGTATCTCCAGGTGAGCAGGTCAAGGTCGTACACGCATGACTAACTCACTCTGACCTGGCCCATCAGCATCACCAGTGTATTGTACGGCTCGTTCCCTGGAGCGTGATGCTCATAATGACACTGGAATGCAAATATCAGAAATTGTTTCCTTAATGATGATATGAGAGTGTCAGATCACCAACCATGGCTGTTATGACATTTATTTTAATATATATAAATATATGTATTTTTTTTTTTACTCAGACATCTAGGTAAAGTGCTTTTGGCGGGTGCACATCCAGTTGTTAAAACAGATGTTCATGACAGATGTTCACGACAAATGCCACGTTAGGAGTTCATGCTAAATACCCATAACGAAGCTTTTCTTGCAGGCGGCCACAGTGCCTTCATTGGTGTTAATAGACAAGTGCCCGCGGCAGGTTGGAGCCCAGGTAAGGAGACTTTCCAGGGGATACTCATAACTGACCGTGGCAGGTGTTCGTGGCAGCAGTTCGTAACAAATGTTCGTGGCAAGTGTCCATGGCTGTCTATGACTCATGTTCAGGAGACTCCCCTCAAGGAGACTCATGACTCACCGTGGTGAACGTGCCACTGACCTACTTGGCGCCGTGAGTAAACACCTCTTTATAGCAACAGCGGTCCCTTGGTTCGACCCCAGGTCACGGCGCACGTACACTGTGTCTGTGTGTGTGTGTGTGTGTGTGTGTGTTCCGCTTGACCATATGGTAATTATTATCTCTCCCGGGAATTATAGATATTACTAAATTATTTAAAAAATAAGTATTACAAGATGACAAAATACGACTTGTTTAAGTGACATTATAAAGAAACCTGTTTTTTCTTAATACTCTTTTATTAATAAACACGATATTATTATTATATTAGTAAAATAATGTCAGTAACATTACTAAGCCTCGAGTTAGACTTGGAAAGAAATTTGTTTGTCATAAATCTATTTCCTTTAATTTCGTTAAAGAAAACTATTTCCTTTGACTTTTAGTTATTATAAAATCCTAATTAAATAGGTGTTCATAAATTATCAATACAACACCAAATGCTAATAATTACAGGTACAAAAATGCTTTGGTAATCTATGAAAAGAAATAATTTTCTTTTAATTTCTATACAAGTTTTGGTCAGTTGTTACGGTACTGCTTGGTTTCATATATTCACAAATAACTCACATAGAAACTATAACCACCAAGGCCGCTGTTTGTTCCATATTAACGACTGGCGCACAATATAACAGCAGAACAAGAGCCAACATATGTCTCCTCACGGATCAATATAAATGCAAATCATCATCGACAAAGTCCCGCCTTCCTCGTACCCCAGATGAACTTGTTTATATTCTAATGTTTATAATAACAGTTACGTATCACTGAACAAACACTTGTTACCCACAAACCTAAAACCATAACTTAAGCGTTTCTTCGTTTTTGTCAAAGTCGCTGCTGCTGATACGTATTATATTTCACTATTATATGAGTCGTAAAATAAAACCCGGAGCTTAAGGTTAGCGTTGAGGCGCTCTATCAAACACCCGGGCTTTTGTAGCTCCAGATATGTCGAGCGAGTGAGACCAGAGTAATCAGGTAGATGGTTACTTCAACATGCAAATCTGCCTTCAACATGCAACGCCAGGCACTCTATACCATCTATACTACACACAATCAACATTACCATTACAAACGACCTTTAAATATCGTCCTGACTGAGAGGAAGAAATAATTTATCGGTTGTACGGAGCTGCAGTAATGATCCTCTCAGTCCTCCTGCCGGAACTTAGGTCTTTGATCCAGCACCAAGGGAGGCAGCAGGGGGTCTTGGCCAGTCTCGGTAATTAAGGAACATCCTATTTCAACACAGGTGAAGGTAGGGGGGGGGGCAGATGCTGGACAGGTAGATATAAAGGTGATGGTGGTGACGGTGAGTCTGAGAGCATCCCACGAGTCGGAGTCTGTGATATCTTTACCGTTGCTGGTAATAGATAAATAGAAAAACAGATAGATAGATGGATGGATGAATCTATTAAGACAAAGATAAGATTTTTTTCTAGTTTAACAGATGTATAAGAAACAAACAAATACATAAACACATACATACATACATACATCCATCCGACAGAAAGCAATAGTGGTTGTGTATGTGTGTATCCGTATAAAAATACATGGATGAAAAGAACGGGAGGTGCCGGTATGTTTGTACAATATATACAACTGCACTTGGACATACACTTTGTTGCGGGGTATATAATGACCAACTTAAAGACTTCATTCAGCACAAAAGACTGGTGAACGTGACCTGCCTTCACTTTCTTCCTTTACACGAGGTCTTGACACATACAGTGAAACTTATCAATAATCTAAAATTATTTCTCAATTTCAGCCAACAATATTTTACGACTTATCATTAATCTCAAGCAGGAACACGTTTTGTATATATCTAAATTTCAACGAGAATTGTTTTGTTTTAAATGTGAAGTGCGTGGCTGAAAGAACTGAACAACTTAAATATTTCTTCCATGTTCTTGTAAGACTGATCTTTAAACTTAAGATGGAGGCTACCTTCTATATATCTAATATCCTTCCAAGAATATGTTATAAAACCTGACCTGACCTAACCTAACCTAACACCTACTTAACCTAAACTAACCTAACTTAACCTGGAATATCTAGCTAAAATACCAGCTTCTCCTAAACTGTTGCCATTAATGTCTTCATCAAAGAAACACTTTCTTGATTTTCTGCTCAAAGCTGAAGTTATACCGACCGATGAGACAATATAAATTTCCTCCTGAGAAATATTATGTGGTACCGTACTGCGCTATGCTGATCCTGAAGTTAGTATTATATTGTCCAAGGTTTTCAAAATATGAAGAAGAAAAATTCCAGAAAATATTTAGATCATTAAACAAGAGGTTATCGTCATAATCACTTGTTCACAACACACAGGCGCTTTATTGACGTTGTCCCTCACGAAAGGTCATAATGTTTCCTAAAAAAATATTACTCTCCAGTGCTCCCTGAGCCTAGTGTGTACTGAATCAGAATACACACAATCTTAATAAAGGCCGCAGCAAAAAACTTGGTGTTTCATCATGAGCTGCTCGACAAACGTTTATACTATACAACTATAGTGAGTTGTTAACACAGACTGCGTTGTAAGTGTAGAGTACATCTTCTAGCGCATTCTTGGCATGCGGAAGACCAAACAAATTGAACAGTAAATTATCCATAAAACAAACAACACGACACACTCATACAGTAATCTTAAAAAGCAAACAATGTCTGTCTACGACTTATATTATTGACGACATACTTGATCTAACAAACGCTACACTATACATTTGGTGTACTGTAAGACTTGGGCAACACCTGAGAGTAGCTTTCATCGCGGGAACTGCAAAACACTCAAGGCCGAAATGCCGCCACATGCCCGGCCAAAGCTGTTATCACACACCCTTTATATCTGCCTGTAAAGTGCCTCAGCAGCCTCACCACCACTTGTGATAACTTCCCCTGGTGTTAAATTATTCCTTTAGCTTAATATAAGTTAAAATTTTTCTCTCAGAGAAAGTTAAAAGACAAAATGTGTAAAATAATGGTTTGGTCGAGGTGAGGGAGCGACAGGGTGGGATGGGTCAGTGAGCTGCCAACACTGGAGGAGAGACCACGGTGCTGCTCCGCTCTCTATCTCTCTCTCCCTGGCTCCCCGGCCACACTCACTCACACGCCCCTCAGGTGAGATCCTCTCCTCGTCAGGATGTTGTTCCTGCTTATCCACTCCTTCTGCCGGAGTCACTTGCTGAGAAATAGTTCAATCTCAGTTCTAAATATGTTTACTAAAAATGATTACATGAAATATATCATATTACAAAGCGAGTGTGAATTGAAAACATTTCAATCCCAACATCTATAAATACGCGACGATTATGAAATCTTTCTTCTCTTTCAGACGGTGTGATATAAACAAGTGCTATGCCCTGAGAAGATAACAAAAGAAGATGTCCGTTTTGTGTACTACAGACCATGAATTTGAGAAAATACACTTCATATAAACTCTATCAAGAGACCAACAGTGGTGCGCAACAAGTGTAAAAAAAAATGTTTGTAACTTAAAATGGATAAAAATGGAAAATCCACTGAGTGTAGAAGCTAATCTGACAAATGTGAAGGACCTAGTGGACAATAATAATAATAATAATAGTGAAGGAACCACAGACATTGTCAACAAATGTCAGTTCATCACCAACAAGACGGAGGGATCGTCGGGAGGGAAGTACCAGTTACGGCCTCGGTCACTGCAGGCGAGGCGTCGCTCTGACAGTGAGTGGAGTCTCCAGGACACGCTGAGACACAAGCCAAGGGCGCCACCGCTCTCCAGGTACCGCAGGAAGACTGCCAATGCCCGGGAGAGGTACCGCATGCGGCAGATCAACACAGCCTTCGAGAATTTGCGTGGTGCGTTGCCTTCCTGGGTGTGTAGTCGACGAGCAGCCTCCGACATGACCAAGATCACCACACTAAAACTAGCCTCCGCCTACATCAGGTCCCTACAGGACATCCTGGACGGTAACGCCCACCAGGACACCTGCTCCTGGGTCCTCTCCAGCATCCTAGGTGAGGCCCCTAGCCCACAGGAACCCCAACCTGAGCAGTACTCCATAAGCCCAAACAAGACCCAACAACCTCCTGTCTACGTAACTCAAGAATCCGACTTCGTGTCTCTGCTGTGTAACTCCTCCGACTCAGGAGTGTTCCAGAACAACCTGGAGACGTTCTCGTACCTGTCACCGATATCGGAGACAGAGGCCGTGGCCCTCCTGCTGGGGACTGACCCTCCCCGCACCTGGAGTGACAGTCAACACACGCAGCTAGTGACGTAATGGAGTCCCTTTACTCACCTTTTGAAACGTGAGTTGCATATTATACGAAGGTGACAACGATATCTTATAGGTCACCAAAATTTATGCTCATATAAAAAAATTATATATGCCAGTAACTGACCTGTATGTTGAATATACCGAGTTAGTTAAACAATTAATCTATTACTGCACAGTATGTATCGTGTTTAGTGGCCTTTAGCAGTGTTTAATAAGTCTTACCTTTATAACGTAAATGAAAGAAAGTCAGCATTCCTTGATAATTTCTTTATAAGTGTAATTTTTACAAGAAATGTCATGTCAATGTCTAGTATAACCAGCACTCAGAAGTTGTGGTTTGGTGAAGGTCAAAGTTGTGTAGATGAGAGTGTGATCTCTTTATCGTGTTAACAACCTCAACTGGCGCTGAAAGTTAAATATCCAAGTTAATCAAGTTTACGACTGTTGATAAGATACAGTTTTTCCTTCAGTTACCAGACAACGAAGTCTTTAGTGGCCTCATAGTGCCTCTTATCAGCCCGTCACTCTGGCTCGTAACATTCAACGTTGCTTAAAATATCTGGAATAATCTGCGTCTAACAGTATCAACTAGAACCGCTGCATCTAAGTTATCTGTGTGGTCGTAATGGCGACTTATTACAGTATTTGTGAACCACAGTGGGTCAACAATTGTAGGTCATATATGTCCTTATCATCTGGTTTATAAGGTTAATATGGTCGAGATATTATCAGTGAATAGTAACGACATATTATGGTGATGTTTATTACGCACCAGAGGACACTATCCTGATCAGTATATCATGGGTTGTGGCCAAGATGAAACAATCGTCTCAGAAGACACTACTTGTTAACACCTTTCATGTGTTCTACCGAGGCTCAAGTTTCTCTTACTTACATTTAAAGTTTTATAAATAACACAACGCAAAAAGATTTTATCGTCCCGGAAAATATATATATTATGTCTTGTGTTGAACACGTAGCAGGCTAAAGTTGGCGGTCATGTTCCTCTCTTACCCCGGGTTAAGTAAAGCTGTCAGCTTGAAACAGTCTTTCTCTCTGCAGCTGGAATTTATCTCAACATTTTCTCTGCACACTAGTAACATGTAGAACATTTTGATTCTCTTTCTTACATAAAACAAATTACTATAATTAAGATGGTTCGCTGATGGTATGTGATGAGTCCTGTGTTAGCTACATAAGAACTATGTATCAGCCCCAGCGAAGCTTGTGCTGGCTGAAGCAGATGAGACCTCAACTCAAGAAGTTAATGATACAAAGGTCACATTCAGTGACAAACGTTTGACCTACTTTATATTATTCCATAGTCCATTGTAACCCTTTATATTCATGACACTGAGAACAAAACAAAACATAATGAAGCACAACATCGTATGAACAAACACACTCCAGATAAAGTAACATAATTGTGTCTTTATTACAGCTAATATTAGTAACACGTACAGTAATGTTTGGAGTCGTCAGTACTGTGGCACCTCTCACTCTGCCGCAGTCCTCCACCATACTCATACACCTCAAGCTGTCGCAGAGTACATAACATTAAAGTTTCACATGATATTAACGTCACACAACATGTCTCAATATCTGAAGCTGTACAGTAAACACACTACACTTAACGGTGTTGAAGAAGACACGGAAAATACCGTACACCAACACCTGTTACTGTAACTAAGTGTGTTAGGAACTCGGTGTGTAGCACCAGGGCCATTTTGTGTATGATAGGAACTTAATATGAGTGATTGGACCTTAATGAGCAGTGTGTCAGTGACGTGAGTTACCTGACAACTTACAGGTGTGTTTGGTGATAATGGCTAACTGTATACACTGTGTTAACCACATTTAGTTTATAATGTGGTACAGGTCCACACAGCCTCCAGGGTACAGTGACTGTCATGTTGTGTCTTGTGGACCCTTGTGGTGGCCACTATGGCACCATTGTAACTTAGTGTTGTGTATTTAGTAATTCTAGTCAATAGGTTTGTGACATAGTTAGAACACTGTATAATATATATGATGGGTTTAGTAGTCTGTATTAGTAATAACAGGGAAAAATTAATATATGTTCGTGTATGCATGTATATAGGATATATACACATACGTACTCATAGTTGTATAGTAATTTATGTACTATTAGTGTCTTTCTTGTACACACAATGTACTATACATCACAGCATGGATGTCTAGTGCTAGCAGAGAGCCGAGGAACACTTGTAAGATGTAGCCCCAGGCAACTTTCTACACCAGCAGCTCTCTCTCTCTCTCCTTTCTATTTGCTCTGTACTTGTCTCTCTCCTGGGGTTATACTATATTTACATTTTGCTTTAACTTGCTTTTAGTTTAACCACATACCCTCGACTTGTATTGTACCACATGTCTCTACCTCCTTGTCCCCTTGATATCACCTGTTCTCCACCCCTTCTCCACCCATACCCATACAACTCTCATCTCACTCCTCCGTCTCCTGCTGACAGTCACTTAACCTCTCCATGGCCTCTACCTATCTAGCAGTTAACTCTCCTCCACCACCAATCTAATCCCTTCTCGGTCTCCACCTGACCTCCACCATCTGCGTCTTACCTGCCAGCTTTCTCACCTCTACCTGGCCTTCACCTAGCGCGCGCTGCACGCAAGACGGATAATGTTGAAAAAGTACCACAAACAGGATATCTGAGCTGTTAACTTATTTATGTTTAAAAACAGACAATACGAGCCTAATGATAATCGGGTAGTGCTACTTAAGTTGGGCGTGACTGTTTCGTGGTACTTACATTACATTTACCAATTTGTGCGCTCAGCAATAAATCACTACGTGTACAAGTTTCATTGTTTATGTTTCCTGTTTGTTATGAATAAAGGTATTTTATTATAGTGAAGTTTATATAAACCTTAAATTATGAGTCAAATATATGAAGGTTTTCTGATATATAAACTAGATATAAGGTTATAGTGTCGTGTGTATGTTTATATAACATTAATTGTGTCACAATAAACAAAGGTTCTCAGATACATGCATAAATTAGTCACGATTTAGGTGTTAGTGTCGCGGGTCAGTCCAGTAACAGCAGCAGACACAACAACTCTGGTTACTATTCAAAGTAAAACATTCCTAACCTTTTACATGAAGCATATATCACTATTCCCTTACCATTATTATAGTCCTATATATTGTGTTAATATGCAAGTAATGTAACATCTAATTTGGTTATTTTCGTCCCATCTTCAAGTATCATTATATCATATATCACGTGTTAGTAGTAATTAAAGATCTATCATGTCATGTTTAAAATCATGTTTCTCGTCATTGTGTCAAAAAAAGAAAGAAAACTTTCAGTACTATTATAAATTTAAATAGCCATATATATATATATATATATATATATATATATATATATATATATATATATATATATATATATATATATATATATATATATATATATATTTTTTTTTTTAGGGGGGGGGAAGTTATTCGGATTGAGGTGTAGGTCAGTTACGTTCCAAGTGACCTGATTATGTTGGGATCTCTTACGGCTATTCCAAATCAATCGTTTTTTCAAGAGTGTTCAGGGACGCTTATAACCACAACTATGTACAATCAGTGAATGTTTGATTGTTATTCTCCATGTTTGGTACAATATTCCTGAGGAAAAAAATAAAGAACTAGGCAAGAAAATGTCAGGTCATCAGCAACACCTGGAGTCGTCCTTTAAAGCTCCGAGGTAAATATGTAAGACCATTTACTGGTAAGATTACCGTGCTTTAAGCCAATCCTAAAGCTTCTTTTAACGCTTTGTGTCACACTCATTAGCCATTCATGTATCTTGTCCCAACGCCAACCAATCATCTGCTTGCTCTTTAACAACCTGGGAGGCAAACACTACACAGGTCATTTGTATTCACTTTTCGCCTTAAAGAACAAACAGTGACGAGCATCTGTTTGTTGGTGTGAGCTGGGAGGCCGACGACAGGTGATTATTATCCTGCCTTCATCTGTAGGTGAAACTATTACCTGTGTTGCTGGTGACTTTAAGAGATTTGATCTTCTCTCTCTCTCTCTTAATAACTCTTCGTGTAATCCTAGTTGGTTAGGAGAGATGGTCAAGAGATTTGTAGACCAGGAGAGGAATTTAAAGATATTAATTAATGGTGTTCAAAAAGTAAACGCTTGATTTTCTAAGATAAATAAATAACACACCCATACCTCCATCAACCAATTTTACCGGACAACGTGTTGAAGGATCCAGTGAACATACTCAAGTCAGACACTAAAGACCCAGATGACTGCACACATCAACATATTAACCAGTGTGTGACTAAATTGACTGAACTCACCCACAACCCACCAGGAACATCGATATAAACAGCATAATAAGAAGCACCTGATCTAATGGTTAGGTTTTTTCGTATTTTCTCAAAAGGTTTCGTCTCTGAGTGGAAAATGCGGTGGGTCGTGAGCCGTAACTTAATAACCTGTGATAAAAAAAAATATATCCATAACACAACCCTGACATAACAGTCACAGTTTAGTTCATTCACACAACAGTCACAGTTTAGTTCATTCACATAGTTTCAATTGATTTTTTTTTACTAAAGACCAACACAACTGAAATATGAATCTCATGTACATAAAGACTACGACACAAGAAGCCCAGTCACGCATGGCTGGGTGACTGGTGTGCTAAGTGACCGCATGGCCGAATAACTAACTGATGAATTAACTGAACGCATGGATGACTAGCATACCGGTCACTTAAGTACTACAATATGAGTCACACTTACTTAAATACGACATCATGACAGTCACACTTAAGACATAACGTGATATGTCGACTCATTTCATCAGTTACCTCGCTATTGAAACCTTAAATCACTCGTAAGTAAATCACCACCACTGGACTTATCTTATTTGTGGGTATTTAAATATAATTACCCAACTATTAAACGGCGTCCCTGTGGTCATTAGAAATCCGTTTACAGTCCAATCATTTCTTCAAACAAGGGAAAATTTTCCGCTGTGGTCATTCGTAATCCTCTCAACGTCGTATTCTTGGTAGATTTACATAATTACTCAAACAACCAATATCCAGCGCTGTGGGAACTATGACGTCATACCCGGGTTGGCATAAGGTCAAGAGTCATTACGCTGTGAGCCACTGCGTATTGTGATGAAGATGTATTGTTATTAATGACCATCTGAGGTCAAACGTCGGGCATTAGGACGTCAATGGGGGTTAAGCTGAAGGTCTTCGTTAATCACTTAGTAGTCAGGACTTTTTTTTCAGGGAAGAGAAAGCAGGACGCTCAGCTGATTCTTCTTTACGTTACTTTCGACAATGAGACTGGAATTATACACATCCCACACACACAGTAAACATGGACTTCCAAGAGGTTCCTAGTCATAAGACATCATCAATGTTTATAATAAATCCTACAGTTTATCAATAGTCATCAATATTCAGATCATAGACACTAACCCCCTATAGTTCCTTATATTATAGTCAAAAGTGTCGTTGTTTTTTGACGATGAAAATATTAACAGCTCTTCACGAGGACTCGAGCACAGGACTAACAGACTGCCAGCTCAGTGTGATTATCACTCCGCCACCCTTGACCGCGTTATGAAAAATACAAATCAAGATTTTATCCAGTTTATGGAAGAAAGAAAGAAAGAAAGAAAAATAATAAAACTGGTCTGGATCTGATATTAAATCCCTTACGAGACAATATATAGAGAGAAAATTAGCCGAATTGGGATGATATGACTTTGGACTTTTCTCCTGGAAAAGTGACTCATGCATAAATCGATTACAATAACTTCCCTTCGACAGAATGATAACGAGAGCAAAAATAAAATCAATTTGCAGATATTCTTATTTTTTATCTATATGTAATAATGTAGTATTAGTGTAATGATGCGTGAAATTACTGATGTAACACCAGCTATGTTTTTGTAGATAAATTACCGCCCATTAAACTACATAACTGTATAAACTATCTATAAATCAGTCTACTACGTTTTTGTTTACACCACGCACCTTGATCATTAAATAACAACTTAAAGTCTTGGAGTATTTATTAAAATCAATTTGCTTCTCAGTACCTAACCAAACCATAACTCTTCCGACTTATAACATGAATAATCCACCAGGTGCATGTCGACAACCAAGGAATAATCCACCAGGTGTATGTCGACAGCCAAAGAATAATCCACCAGGTGTATGTCGACAACCAAGGAATAATCCACCAGGTGTATGTCGACAACCAAGGAATAATCCACCAGGTGAATGTCGACAGCCAAAGAATAATCCACCAGGTGTATGTCGACAACCAAGGAATAATCCACCAGGTGTATGTCGACAACCAAGGAATAATCCACCAGGTGTATCTCGACAACCAAAGAATAACCCACCAGGTGTATGTAGAATATCCGCACCCGGGTGGCGCTGACGGCAGCCAAGGAAGAATAATCCACCAGGTGTGCCGGCGACAACCAAAGAATAACCCACCAGGTGTATGACGACAGCGAAATAACCCCACCGGGTGTATGACGACAACCAAGGAATAACCCACCAGGTGTATGACGACAACCAAAGAATAACCCACCAGGTGTATGACGACAGCCAAAGAATAACCCACCAGGTGTATGACGACAGCCAAAGAATAATCCACCAGGTGTATGACGACAGCCAAAGAATAACCCACCAGGTGTATGACGACAGCCAAAGAATAATCCACCAGGTGTATGACGACAACCAAGGAATAACCCACCAGGTGTATGACGACAACCAAAGAATAACCCACCAGGTGTATGACGACAACCAAGGAATAACCCACCAGGTGTATGACGACAGCCAAAGAATAACCCACCAGGTGTATGTCGACAGCCAAAGAATAATCCACCAGGTGTGGCGAAGCGTTAAGCAAAGGCAGCCCACCAGATTTGCTGCGTGTCGACAACAGGGGCTGCCATCCACCAGGTAATATGACGTAACGAAATAACCCACCAGGTGTATGACGACAGCAAGGAATAATCCGCAGGTGTATGACGACAACAAGAGGCCGCACAGGTGAATGTCGACAACAAGGGGCTGAAATCCACCAGGTGAATGCCGACAACCGAATAATCCACCGGTGTGTCGCAACCGGAATAATCCACCAGGTATGCGTGACGACAGCAAAGAATAATCCACCGGTGGCAGCGGCGACCAGCAGAGATAATCCGCAGGTGTATGACAACAGGAATAATCCACCGGGTGTATGACGACAAGGAATAACCCACCGGGTGTATGACGACAACCAAGAATAATCCACCAGGTATGACGACCAACCAAGGAATAATCCACCAGGTGTATGTCGACAACCAAGGAATAATCCACCAGGTGTATGACGACAACCAAAGAGTAATCCACCAGGTGTATGACGACAACCAAGGAATAATCCACCAGGTGTATGACGACAACCAAGGAATAATCCACCAGGTGTATGTCGACAACCAAAGAATAATCCACCAGGTGTATGACGACAACCAAGGAATAATCCACCAGGTGTATGACGACAACCAAGGAATAATCCACCAGGTGAATGCCGACAACCAAGGAATAATCCACCAGGTGTATGACGACAACCAAGGAATAATCACCAGGTGTGGCGACAACCGAAAGAATATCCACCAGGTGTATGACGACAGCAAGGAATAATAATCCACCGGGTGTATGACGACAACCAGGGAACCATCACCAGGAATTGTATAATAAACAACCAAGGAATAATCCTGCAGGTGGCAATAAACAGCAAGGAATAATCCACCAGGTGTATGACGACAACGAAGAATAATCCGCCAGGTGTATGACGACAGCAGGAATAATCAC